AAAAAGAAAAACCAATAAAGTGGACTTCATCAAAATTCAAAACTATGTGCTGCAATCAATACCATCAAGTAAGTGAAAAGACAACCCAGAGTGGGAGAAAATTTTTGCAAATAATATATCTGATAAACACCTACATCCAAAGTATAAAAAGAACTCTAACAACTCAATATTTAAAAAATCAGTAACCTAGTTAAAAAGTAAATATCTAAGGATATACAAATGGCCAATAAACAAGAAAAAATGCTCAACATCATTAGCAATTGGTAAATGTAAATCAAAATCACAAGATACCATTCCATACCCACCAGAATGGCTATAACTGAAAAGACAGAAAATAACAAGTGTTGAGATGTGGAGAAATTAGAACCCTCATCATGCTGACGGGAATGTAATATTTTACACACTTTGGAAAACAGTTTAACAATCCTTCAAAAATGTTAAATGCTGTTTCCATAAACCAGCAACCCACTCCTTGATATATATCAAAGAGAAATGAAAAATATACACAAAAACATGCATATGTTCATAGCAGTATTATTCATAACAACCAAAAACTGGAAAAAATCCGAATGTCCATCAACTGATGAATGGGTAAACAAAATGTGACATATCTATACTTGGTAATAAAAAGGAATGAGTACTGATACTTGCTATAATATAGCAAAGTACTGATACTTGCTAAAATATAGCTATAATACAGACAAATCTTGAAATCAATGAAAGAAGCCACTCACAAAAGATCACATACATGATACATACATACAAATCAATCACATGATTTGATTTATATGATAATGTCCAAAATAAGCAAATTTATAGACACAGTGGATTAGTGGTTGCCTAGATTGCCTAGGGGTGAGGGAGGTGTGGAATGAGGACTGAGTACAAACAGGTACAGGGTATGTGGGTATAAAAATGTTTTAAAATTAGAGTGTATTGGGCTCCCTGGGTGGCTCAGTCAGTAAAGTGTCCAACTCTTGATTTTGGCTCATGTCATGATCTCAGGTCCTGGGATTGAGCCCTACATCAAGCTTTTTGCTTAGCACAGAGTTTGCTTGAGGATTCTCTCTCTCTCTTTCCCTCTGCCATTCCCCGTTTGTGCCTGCTCTCTCTCTAAAATAAATAAATAAATCTTAAAAATAAACAAAAACAAAAATTAGAGTGTAGTGAGGATGGTTACCAGATGGGAAGTGGGTGGGGGAACAAGATAAATAGGTGATGGGGATTAAGAAGGGCACCTGCTGTGATGAACACCAAGTGTTTTATGGAAGTGTCGAATCACTATACTGTACACCTGAAACTAATATTACACTGTATGTTAACGAACTAGCATTTAAATAACAACTCAAAAACCAAATAAAAATACAATTAAGAATATAGTGATGTTTGTACAACTTGGTGAACTGTAAACTTTAAATGGGTGAAATGTATTACATGTAAATTACATTTCAATAGAACTGTTTTTTAAAAAAACTAATGACAGATGGCTTCAATTTCCATTCTAAATATATTTCACCTTCCAAAGCTCTAGCTTAGTTGCTCTTATATATTTTGACAATTTTTTAAAAAGAAAATTTTCTTGTCCAACATGTAAAGAGCTTAGAAGTCATTCATATCTACAGAAGAAAAGAACTGAACAAACTGAAAATCAACAACTCTTGGATCCATCAGAGAAGTGAGTTCACAAAGTAAAACAACTATTCTGAAAACCAGAGAGATGAAGATAAAGAATCACATACTGCACGGAGAAGACACTGGAATCACAAATGCCTAGGAAAAATTAAACTTTAATTAACCAACTGCTAGAGGCTAAGCATGAACTTCCTTTAGAGAGAACTCTTAAGGCCAAAAAATACAAAAACAAAAAAACCCTTGTAAGGCCGAGCTTTAGAAAGAACTCTACATTTTCATGAGCTTTACTTCTGGGGACCCCACAAAGCTATTAAGATGAACATGAGACAAAAATACTCTCATACTCTTGGCACAGGGAAGGATAATCATTTTAGAAGAAGACCAGATAGACTGGCCTCAGGGAAACTCTATTACCAGAGTCTAACCAAATGGGTTTTACCAAAATCTAACCAACCTGGGAGAAGGGAAACACACAACTCTAGCCCCACCTCCCAGGCTTCCTACTTCACCTAGGCAAAAGAAAAATGCTAAGAAGTGCTTGTAAAAGCAATAGCTCAGGGACACAGGCTCACTAAAGATTGACTCCTAATCATAAGATTATTATAATGCAACCTCTCCCCTCCACACCTTATCACTACATCAATAAGGCTCCTCTATAATAACAGAATATTACAGATGATGGAATGTAAGCAAGTCCCGGACCCTATTTAAAAAGGAGTGTCAGGATGCCTGTGTGGCTCAGTGGTTGAGCATCTGCCTTTGGCTCAGGGCATGATCCCGGAGACCCAGGATCAAGTCCCATGTCAGGCCTGTTTCTGCAGGAGCCTGCTTCTCCCTCTGCCTGTGTCTCTGACTCTCTCTCTCTGTGACTCTCATGAATAAATAAATAAAATCTTTAAACTAAAAAAATAAATAAAAATTAAAAAATAAAATGGAGTGTCAACAGAAACCAAAAGACAACAGGAGACAAAAAACAAGGACATCAAAGGAAATTTTAGTGTCTGACAATTACAGCAAACAATTAAACAGCCTAACTTCTAGCCAGTAAACTCAAAACCTCACACCAAAGGCCTATTTACCTCACTTCTTTTTACCTAATACATCATGCCCAGTGGTTTTGTTCTTTTTAAAAATGATTTTTATTTATTTATTCATGAGACACACACAGAGAGAGGCAGAGACACAGGCAGAGGGGGAAGCAGGCTCCCTGCAGGGAGCCCAATGCGGGACTCATCCCAGGATCCCTCAATCACATCCAGAGCCAAAGGCTCTCAACCACAGAGCCACCCATGTGCCCCCATCATGCCCAGTGTTTAACAAAAAAATTACAAGGCATGTTATAAGGCAAAAAAACAGTCTGAAGAGACTAAGCAATATAAGCAGAGGGAAGGAAACTCAAAGAATCAAAAAGAAATGACAGAAGTCAAAAAACAGTGTAACAGAAATGAAGGATGTTTTTGATGGGCTCATCAATAGGCTGGATATACCAAAGAATGAATCAGTGAATTTTAAGGTAGGTCAACAGAAACTTGCCAAACTGAAATGTAAAGTGGGGAAAAAAGAGAAAGAAAAAGAAAAAGAAAAAAAAAAAAAAAAAAAAAAAACAGAACAGAACAGAATATCCAGAATTTTAGGACAATTTCAAAGGATGTAAAGGCAAAAGCAGGGTGATACAGATTACAACTTGAGAATTCTTTATCAAGCCATGCTATAATCATTAAAAGAGAGAGCCCCCAAGAAGACATTTTTAGACACGGTGCCCTTCTCAAATCCTACGGTAGTCCTCCTCTCACCTCTGAGACCAGGCCAGACATGACCTGAGACTCTCAAATAATTCTGACATCAAAATTATTTCTGATACATTTAAACAATTAGATACAGTGATTTCAACTATGCTCATCACTAAAATCCCTGGTCCAGACAAAAGCAAATAATCTCCTGCCCCCACATTCTATTACTGCTCTGTCTTCTTACCTTGGTTCTTCCCAAGATTTACTCCTCCCCTCTCAACCTTTCTCCTGTGCTCTTTGAAACCTTTGTGCTATTTAATAATCTGTCTCACATACTGTCCTTGCAGCCCTCTTCCACATATTCTCTAGAAACAAGGAGAGATGGAAGTGACATTTAACTACTTCTCACAATGATTTACCATTATTTTCCATATTTCTCAAATAAAAATAAATGAAACCTCCTTTTTGAGGTTTAGGCCACACACAAGCTTCTCTACCATCCCCCACTATCACTTTCTCCTTGCAACTCCCAGTTCCTCCTGTTTTGTGAAGACTTCAAGGACTGGGTTCACTGATTTCCCTTAACCTCAAATCCCATATTAACCAGAAGATAATTAAATATAGTTAACTAAGCCAATAAGATAGCTTCAAAATCACAATTTGTTTTCTACCCTATTGATCTTTATTCAATTTCTACTATCCAATCCCAAGGCCATACAATGGATCTAATCACCCTTCAAACTGATCTAAATTTAAATTTAAAACAAATCCCCATTTAAATGCACCACACTTCAATCTGACCAAAATTACCCATTACTCTAGCTCTCTCCATAAGTTATATCCACATGATCTATTCAACTTCATAAATAAACCTCTGTCCCTTCTATTTTCTCCAACTAATAATTCTTGTGGTTTCTCTTCTTTCTCTATGCAGGCTAAAACCAACAGGTGATCAACTCTTACTGATTCCCTTCCACTGCTTTCCATCCACCATATCCACGTGGCCACTCAACAAATCCCTCAACCAAGGATCAATCCTATAACTCATTTTCTGTAGTCCTGAGTTTTAATAGAGAAAAACCAGAGATTCCATTAAGGTTGGTAAGAACATTACAAAATTATCTGCAATCTCAGCTGACTTCTCAGAACTACCTGCCAATTCTTTTGCTAGTTCTTGGTCAGCTGCAACTCCTACTTAGTAACCTAAATTCTGAGCCTGCACCAAGCTACTCTCCTCAAACCCCCTAACCCTCCTTTACCACTCACTACCTCTCCATCAGCAGATAATCTTGTTTTCTACCTCAGAACTGATCTCTCAGTTTCCTCTCTACAAACTTATTTGGATCTACTCTTCTCCTTTTCTGTTCCATTAATTTCTTTTTTCAAGTCACAGAATGGAATACAGAAATAATAAACTGACTCTAATATCAGACTCCTCATGTAATTCAGTTATAACATTGCCATAGAGAAGACAATGAAAAACCAAATGATTCATCTAATAAAATATCTGGGGATTTATAAATACATTTAATCCAAAGTTAACATTATTACAGGAGTTTAAAAATAAAAAATTAGCCTTAGCAAGGTATTTTTAACAAGCTAGCCATAAGAACACCTAATATCTCCTTTTCTACATACCTGCTGAATGTTTGAGAGTCTTTTGCACAGTGTCAGGAGATACTCTCAACATTCTGAGATCTGAAGAGTGATACTCCAACTCTCTGGCTGGCTCATGAGGAATAAATGGAGGCAATATAGATGAAAAGGGCTGATTAATGTCCATATTAGAATGACCTACCTATAAAAGGAGATTAAAAAAAATCAAGAAAATAGGATTAATTTTAGACTTCACCTTCACATTCATGAAAATGAATACTAAGCAGTTATACCAATTTCTTAAGATCATCTTCTCCACCATCCTAAATTCATATACAAGTCATATCTTGTTTGGTCAATTCTAGGAAGGCTCTACAAATTATTCTTAGGGTCTGGAAGTCTGCCTATATAGAATATTACAGATAGGAAGCCTAGAAGTTTGTTCCATATAAAAGTATGATCATTGAAGATTTTGAACTTTGGTATTACTCTTGACAAGTGTAAGAATTTTTTTTTTTTTTTTTTAAAGGAGAGGTATGTTGTCAAAAGTAAAGATGAAAGGAGGGAAGAGAGAACAGGAATATTTTCAAGAAATCCACAAATGTTTATAAAAAAAATTAAAGCATCAAAGAACTGGATCTATGATCAATTACCAAAATACTATGTCCTCAAACTTCTTTAAACAAAAGTAGTGGGAAATATAAACTGACAGTGAAGTAAAGGTTAAATGCTGAAAAAGAAGTTCTCAAAGATTCATCAGATCCCAGGAAGTACTTATTAGAAAAGAAATTAGAAACCATCATTGGTGATGTCAGTACATAAATATATAAAACTTTTCACCAGGTTCACATCATACTCTCATATAAAACAATATACTACTTTTAGGTTTCATTATTTTCCTAAAAATATTATTCCCTCTTTTTGATACTTCTCAGGGGAGAAAAAAATGTACCTAAGGATGAATTTGATTCCATTCTCTTTTATCAAGGTTTTTTCACTGTATAGTAATGAACAGTCTTAGAAGTTGGGATGGTATTAAAATAAATATTCTACTTCTACTGCCCTGGTCTAGGTTTCTCTACACCAGTGGTTCTCAGGTGTGGAAGATTTTGCCCCCATCCATCTCTCCCTGACCAAAAAACATCTGGCAATGCCTGGAGACATTTTTAACTGTCATAACTTGGAGCATGGGGTAGAGGGAGGGTAGCCACTGGCATCTAGTGAGAAGCCAGGGATGTTGGTCAGCACCCTAAAATGCACAAACAAGCCCCCCACAACAAAGAATTATCATATCCCAAAAGATAACAGTAAGAGAAATCCTGCTTTAAACATAGCACAAAGTTCTTAATTTTCAATTATCCCATTCCTAAAGGAGACTTTTTTGAAGTACAGCTCATTAACTTATGTATTTGTGTGTGTGTGTGTGTATGTCCCCAGGCACATATGTGTATTTAATATCAGTTTTACTCTAGAGCTTCCAAATGTAGGAAGAAAAAAGTTTCTATCCCAATCTTGACTTCAATAAAATTTCATTAATATTACTCAGCCATAAAAAAGAATGAAATCTGGCCACTTGCAACAACATGGATAGATTTGGAAGGTATAATGCTAAGTGAAATAAGTCAGAGAAAAACAAATATATGATTTCACTTATGTGGTATTTAAGAAACAAAACAAATGAACAAAGAAAAAAAAGAGACAAAACCAGACTCTTAATTACAGAGAACAAACTGATGGTTGGCAGAGGGCTGGGTAAAATAGGTGAAAGGAATTAAGAGTACACTTACCACCATCAGCAGTGAGTTATCTATAGAATTGCAAATGGACAATATTGTACACCTGAAACTAATATAACACTGTTAACTATACTGGAATTAAAATATAGAAATAAACAAAATTTTATTATATCAAAGCATTGAAACATAACAGATACTAGAGCAAGTAACAGAAAAGAAAATGTAGGGCACCAGGGTGGCTCAGTCAGTTAAGTGTCTGCCTTTGGCTCAGGTCATGATCTCAGGGTCCTGGGATCAAATCCCACATTGGGCTCCCTGCTCAGAAGGGAGCCTACTCCCTTTCTCTCCCTCTCCACCCCACTGCTTATGCTCTCTCTAATAAAGAAATGAAATCTTTAAAAAAAAAAAAGAAATGAAAATATACAGTGAAAAAGATGAGAAGAATTTAAGAGATCACCAGATCTTCATTACTAATTGAAAACAGGAGAAATCAGGAGGAAAAAATGAAAATTGGTTTATCTCCCAGTTTTTAATCAATAATGAATCAAAGATGATGAAGACACCAAGAAATGTTAACTTCTCTATAAGAATTAAGAAAATCTACAAGTCTGATTTCATAAAAAAAAGTTTGAGTTCTTTTGATATAGGCAAGTTGCATCTAAGGTGATGGAAAATTTTATGCAAGATAGCATTCAGGTCTAGGTCTACCTCAATAGAAATATTAGGATCTAAAAACGGATGGGATAACCATCACACAGAAAAAAGCATTTAAACCTTGAGAGGAGGGGTACCTGGATGGCTCAGTGGTTGAGTGTCTGCCTTCAGCCCAGGTCATGATCCTGGGGTCCTTGGATGAGTCCTACATCGGGCTCCCAGTATGGAGCCTGCTTCTCCCCCTGCCTATGTGTCTGCCTCTCTCTATGTGTCTTTCATTAATAAGTAAATAAAACCTTAAAAAAAAAAAAAAAAAAAACTTGAGAGGAAATTAGGTACTTGGTGGAAGAGGTAGAACCAACAAAACAAAAAGAAATCGAAAAAGTAAATCTTAAATAATATTTAGTTACATGGCCAAAATAAGGAGTACTAAAACAGTATTTTAACACAAAAGCTAAAAGAATGTAATATGCTGCTACCAGGAACAAGGAAAGAGAAACACAGGAGTAATAATGATAGGAGAAAACTCCTGGTGAGGGCCTAGGAGTCTAGTTTCAGTAAAGTGAAGAGAACTAATAGCCAGGCAGTACTATATACCCTACCCCACTCAATATAACAATGCATGAGGCTGCATTGTTTCTTATTCTTATTTCTTTATGCAGATGAGTAGAATAATCCTCCAAAGTCATCTGCCAAATGCATGAGGCTAAAAAATAATTGAACAAGGTTTTGACTCCAAATCTCTACACTCTTTTCATAACCCCAAGCTACATCATATATAAGTAGCTGCCAAAATAATCATTTAGAGAAATGATGATTAGGTACCAAAGTAAGGCAAACAAGTATAAATGAGTCTTCTGAGACACAGATGAGAATAAGAAAGAAACCAAGGAACAAACAAGCCCTCCAAGAGCAAGCTTAGCCGTGTAGGAAGATTACTACCATAGCTGGCTCGTTGTTTCCCTAATACTGGCATTACAACTTGCAGACCACAGAATGGAGGTAAGAGTGAAAGATAATACATGGAACATCCTCCCTAAACTGAAAAAATATACTTAGGGCTATAGCTAGGGGCAAATAAAACCTGGAATACTGGTCAGAGTTAATCTTAGCACATCACTATTAACTGAAATATGTATCTACATTTCTTTAAATATATGTGTATAAAAAGCTGATGTAAGTTACATAAGTGATCTATCAAAAAAATGAGAAACTCTAAGTTTAAAATTGATCATACTTGTTTCTCATTCTTATTGAAATTCACTTTGACCAATCCCCTTCAAAATTTTCACTCTTGCCAAAATAATGCAAAATTCTGGCTTTGCTTTCACTGAAGAATAATAGTTAAACAGGAAGGCAGTTTATTGTATAGTATGGTTAAATACATAGGTAAGGTTAGTTTCAAGTATTAGCTCCCCTACTTCCTCAATAATAATAAGCAAGTTCCTTAACCCTCTAAATATCAATTGTAAAATCAGGATGATAATAACCCCCAATAATCCTATCTCATAGGATTGACCAAAGGACTAAATGAATTGATGTATATAAATAAATCTCTTAGCATAGTATTTGAGCACACAGTGTTAGCTATCATTTTCATCCCCATTTGTTAAGAGAATGAAAATTAGAATTAAACAATGCCAACTTTAGAACATTAAAGAAAATAAAACTAACCTCACAGTTCTCTGTATTTCAATTTTTAAAATGTTCAATAATTATAAATAAATTATTTTAATTATAAATGATTAAATAATTATAAATAAATAATTTATTTCCTTTTATAAATAAAAGGAAAAGTTTATCTCAATATCTTTGCTCATTTTCTCTAATCAACTGCCTGAACCTAAATGTTTAAAAATGACTGCAACCCAAACTAGCAGCTTTCCAATGACAAAGTAAACTTACACATGGGGAAACAGGAAAAGGAAAGTAACATTAAGTATACAACATCTATTGTATAGCTGTATAAAATGACTAATATAATATAAAGATATAAGGATATATTATAAAGAAGCTGACCATATCAGACAAAAGAGGATGGGCAATGGAACCAAAGGAACATTAAAGCCCAGATATCCAAGGATCCAAACAAATGAAGTCTTGTATAAAAGAAAGGCTAACACAGAATTTTTACAACACCTCAGTTTTCTAGTACACACAGACAATAATAATGATATAAATGGAAGGAATGTGTATATACATAGATATGTCACTCATTTGGGAGAGAGGAAGTTAGTTATCTTTGAGGACACTAACTAGTGTGGATATTAAGACTCTCAGTATCCTTCCTGGGCAAACATTGGTTCTGAAATTTTCAAAATTCCTTCAAAGTCAAATCTTTCAGGACACCTGGGTGGCTCAGCGGTTGAGCATCTGCCTTTGGTTCAGGGCGTGACCCCAGAGTCCCTAGATCGAGTCTCACATCGGATCGAGTCCCACATCGGGCTCCTGGCATGGAGCCTGTTTCTCCTCCCTCTGCCTCTCTCTTTCTCTGTCTCATGAATAAATAAATAAAATCGTTAAAAAAAAAAAAAGTTGGGCAGCCCCGGTGGCACAGCGGTTTAGCACCGCCTGCAGCCCAGGGCGTGATCCTGGAGACCTGGGATCGAGTCCCACATCAGGCTCTCTGTATGGTGCCTGCTTCTCCCTCTGCCTGTGTCTCTGCCTCTCTCTCTCTCTGTTTCTATGAATAAATAAATAAAATCTTTAAAAAATATATATTGAAAAAAAATCTTTCAGGAGCTTCTAAAAAAAAATATTTAAATATTCCAGGGTCTATTCCAATGCTTATAAATTGAAGACAGAGTAAAAAAAATGTACAATTGACTATGTCTACCAGTGAGCCTAATCTTAACACTGTCCAAAGGTTCTTGCTGGCACAACCAGGAAGACTTAGCATGTCTCCAGATAAAAAAAGGCCTGGGAGCTCCAAAGGATGGCCTTTTCCAAGACACCACAGAACTCACTAACTCTTACGGTCTCTGAAACACAAATATTTCTCTTATGCAAACCCCTAACAAATTAATGGAGTATATTCTTGGATATCAGTTGAAACTAAGTTGTAAGTTGCATGTTGGTATTAGAGGATAGAAATAGGCCCTTTACTTTCGTCCCCATTTTTCAACTAAAATATTCTTTCCCCACCCCACAAGAAATGTCAAACAGAAAAACTTACTGACTCTTCAAAATCACTCTCTTCCTTAGATTCCCAGTCCAGGGAGCTGTCACAAACCTCTAGATCATCAAGCACATTTTTTAAACTTGCTAGCTCAATGCATTCACTAGTCAAGTCACCTTGTTCACATATCTGGGCAACAGCAGAAAGTAAAATAAAAACAAGTTAATAACACATTTTCCTGAAATAGTACTGGAAAAGACCACATTCCCCAACTATCATTTCATTGCGTCTCACCTCTCTTTGTAGATCATCAACTCTTGTACTGCATACAACAGCATTCTCATCTAGGTTACAGCATTCAGTATCATCATCCAGAGTATAGGTGCCAGATTCAGCCTTCCCCTGCAGGCCCTCTATAAAATAGGAGTCATTTTGCATAATTGTATGTATGGTAAAACTGGACTTGTCTCCCATAGGCCAAGGAATTTTACCTTGGCCTGCATCAGCTTTCAGCAAAGTCCCTTGACTGACTGTAATTAAAGATGCATTACTGGTCACTAGTAAAGAACCTTGTGACTTTGCATCATATGTCACCAAGTTTGCTGAAAAGCTGCTTTCCACAACTGCAGATGGACCTTCAAATATGTTACTAGAGTTTACATTCTTACCCAAAATATAGTTTGAGGAATCGGCAACTTCTTCAAATCTTCTTAAATCTTGTAAAACCAAAGAATCTGAAGTCGATTCTTTCACTGGATAAAAAATGTCTGAAGATCCTACCTTCTCTGCAAGGTCAAGAGCAGGAACAGACTTTATCTTCCCAATGGGAAGAAATGGTTCATTGTCTAGATCACACTGAAATAAAGCTGACTGTGCTTTGCCAAGACCAACAGCCTGGCTGTGAGATTTTTCACTTAAAGAAGCAGATGACTTAAACTCTGGAATAAGAGAAAGTGGCTTAATGAACATTTCCTGAGGAGCACTGGGGAGTGATTTTAAATTAAGATGCCAATACAGGGAGCTATCACCATTAACTTTTTTATGCAACAAAGGTTTTGAAGCCTCTAATTCAAATACCCCAGGAGGAGATTGATAACATGGATGACTAAGCTCATCAAAGAAAGAGTTTTCATTGTTATAATTTAATAGGGAAAGATATGGATTTTTTGGTTCCCTTTCTTGGCTGTCATTTACTAAAAACTTACTGATGTCAGTTTGGATTTCATTTACTGTATTCTCTTTCTTGGAAGGCTCAATAGAGGCAATAACTACCTCAAAGGCTACATTTTCAGAAGCATCAACACTTTTTCCACCAAAAACACAAGTGGCCCTTTGGTTTCCTTCCTCTTGAAAATACAGTCGTTCTGATATCTGATCCAAGGTGGATTTAATAGTCTGAAGAGGAACACCAGAAACCTCCATCTGAGAGGTACCATGTACACTAGAGTGTATATGTATTTCTGAAACTTTTACAGAATTACCAGGAACTACAATATTCTCACAATACTGTATTTCTGAAGATCTGGGATGCACCTCTGAAAATACTAAAGCACTTCTATTCTCCTTTAGTTCAAAACCTTACGATAATTCTTTCTCCAGACCTTCTTCATTTCTTTCATACCCCTCCAAAGAATTCATCACTTCTTTCACCTCATTCTCAGCTGGAGCTCTTACATAAACACTCTCAAAATAATGACCATGAGCTGTCAAGGGAATGCCCTTTCCTCTTCTTTCCAAGAGACAATGCAAGAAAGAATGTGACATTTTGTTATTAAAATGAGGAGCAACTTCATGCGGAAAGGAAACATGGTCCTTACTGATCACACACGTTTCTGGACGGTGTGAAGCTTGGTGTTTGCTCCACGGCATATATGCAAAAGCGGCACTTAAACTGTCACTTCCCTTAGGAATTGTATTTTTATCAACTGTGTCGAAAGAATCTGAATAAGAATGATGATCCTTACTGGTTAAATATTTTTCTGACTGCTGTAAAGCTTTCTGTTTCCAATACTGCACATACGAACAAGAAGCATCAAAACTGTCACTTCCTTCAGGAGTCATGTATTCATCACTTGTATAAGATGAGGTTGAAACAGAAGCTTGACCTTTATCAGTTAAACTGGTTTCTGGCTCCTGAATTTCTTGTGTCTTCCATGTCATATAGGAACAAAGAGCATCATAACTATCAAAGTCTTTGGGGGTTTTCAGTTCATCGACTGTATCAGACGAAATAGTCTCTTCTTTAGTCCCTTGTTCAAGAGGTAAAAAAGAGTGCTGAGACTCAACAGCTGTACTAGCTATAAGTGAGTGCTGAGATACAGTAATACAACTGTTACCTAAGTCTGAAGCTACTTCTGAGGCTGCCTGGAATAAAGCTTCACTAACTTCCGACGGCCGAGAAAACCATTCAGTATCTTCAGACTTACCAGGAATTCCCCTGAAAATATACAGTTAAAAATAAATAAATAAAATGTTTAAGACATTTTTTTAAAAACTAACATGAAAAATACAAAACTGATGTCACTGAAATCAACATTATTTGAAAAGTATGCTGAAAAAGCAAAGTTCTAATTTCAAATTCCCTTAAAGTGGTTAGTGACTGAACAAGGCAAATTTTTTCTGAACAGAAGATGAACAGAAGACTCCCATCCTATGACCCTGATATTTTCTCAGCCTTCTCCTAAAATATTATTACCAAAAAATAGGAATATTTTCATACTGCCCCCCCAAAAAAATTAAATAAAAATTCAAACTTTACTATTTAAAATGTTTACCACCTACCATAATACTTACTTAACTTTCACTAATTCTTTCACTAGTCATTTATTGTGCTCTTGAAAACCCCTTAAGAAATGATCTACTCAGGGATCCCTGAGTGGCTCAGTGGGTTTAGCACCTGCCTTCGGCCTGGAGCATGATCCTGGAGTCCTGGGATCGATCCAGGATGGATCCCAGGACTCCAGGATCGAGTCCCACATCAGGCTCCCTGCATGGAGCCTGCTTCTCCCTCTGCCTGTGTCTCTGTCTCTCTTGCTCTCTCTGTGTCTCTTGTGAATAAATAAATAAAATCTTAAAAAAAAAAAAATGATCTACTCCTAAAACACAACAGTAATCTATTGGTTGTCTATTATATACAGAACATTTTTTCATAAAGGTAATTTTAAGGTAATACATAGCAGAAAGGCAAAGGTTTTTATTCTGTAAACCTCTATAGCTTTTTTTTAATGTTTTTATTTGAGTGTGGTTGACATACATTATCACATTAGATTCAAGCATACCATACCATACTTGTCATGGTGAGCATTGCACAATTAATAGAACTGTCAAATCACTATGCTGTGCACCTGAAACTAACATTACATTATATGTCAACTATTCTTCAATAATAAAAATTTAAAAACAAATTATGTCTGAAATACTAAAATACATTAAAAATTATTTTTAAATAAACTACAGTTACCTAACTCATTTTTACATATATGTTACTATGCCATATTAATATGCATCATGTCTTAACTTAGGGCCTTGTTACCGTCTGAGTGTGTGCTGAGACTCCAAACCCTCACCTTAGCCTGAAGCCACTAATATTAGAAACAACTTAGAATAAGAAAAGAAAAGAGTAGAAAGGTTACGTGCAAATAAAAAAATAAATTGTCCTACCTCAGAGGTACAAATTCTAGTTCACTGGGTTGAAATAAGGAATCAGACTCAAACTCTTGATCTTGTGTCAAGCATGTCAGCAAAGGCAAATCAGGAGAAGCAAAGTTGTCTTGTATGACTGCAAAGTTTCAAGTATAAAAATATTGGGAATGCTGAAAGTTAATTGCTTAGCTTACTTATGTAATACTTTATAGAACCTAAATAACGCTGCCATCTGAAAGTTTCTAGAAGCATCAGAATGATATAACAGCAGCAGCAGCAGCAACTACCATTTATTTATTCACAGCCTGAAAAATTTTAGGTACTTAACATACAATATTTCAATGATAACCCTGAAGGATAGGTATTATTATACCATCTTACAGATGAGGAAACATGATTATAAAATTTAAGAAATATTAATTTGCCCACATTCAAATAGCTTAAACGTCAGAGTGAGAAATGAACCTAAATACTCTAATTTCTTAGCAAATGCTCTTAACTATTATGTCCAAAATGTAGTCCACAGGTTCCTGGGCATCCCTAAAACATGCTTAGGAAGTGCCTAGAAAAAAAAAAAAAAGGAAGTGCCTAGAGTCAAAATTATATTCAAAACAACATTAAGGGGATCCCTCCTGGGTGGCTCAGTGGTTTAGCGCCTGCCTTCGGCCCAGGGCGTGATCCTGAGGTCCCGGGATGAGTTCCACGTTGGGCTCCCTGCATACAGCCTGCTTCTCCCTCTGCCTGTGTCTCTGCCCAACCCCCCTCTCCCTCTCTTTGTCTCTCATGAATAAATAAATAAAATCTTTAAAAAAAAATAACATTAAGATGCCATTTGCCTTATTCATTCTCATTCTCTCACAAGGTTTACGTAGAATTTTCCAGAAGCTACATCATCTATGAAATAGCAACATATTGAATGCAGAAGCAGGTACCAGAATCTACCTGTATTCTATTAGGTCAAACATTATAGAGATTTTTTTCTTAAGTAAAATAATGCTACTCTTCTAAATATTTTTGTTTTGGAAAATAGCTATTTTTCTTTTAAAAATATTTAATTTGGGATACCAAATTAAATCTTGGTGGCTCAGTGGTTGAGCACCTGCCTTCAGCTCAGGGCATGATCTTGGAACCTGGGATCAAGTCCCACACATCAGGCTCCCTTCAGGGAGCCTGCTTCTCCCTCTGCCTGTGTCTCTGCCTCTCTCTCTGTATCTCTTATGAATAAATAAATCTTTAAAGTATACATATTATATATATGTAACTTATGTTAACATACCATGGAGTTGTTATTTGTGTCTCTGCCCCTCTCTCTGTATCTCTCATGAATAAATAAATCTTTAAAATATACATATTATATATATGTAACTTATATTAACATACCATGCAGTTGTTATTTTTTAATGAGTTCATAAATATTTTGTAAATTTCTAATATGGGAAATAGTATTAACCCACATAAACAAAAGCTTTGAAGTCCTTGGTACATTTAAAGTATGTAAAGGAGTACTGTGACCAAAGAGTTTGAGAATGCTGATTTAAAGGAAAAATAATTCTTGTGGATTCCTACACATTAACTTAAATAGTTCTTATTATATGTGCCTAAATGTGGACAAACTAGGTATAAACTCATTATTTATACCATTTACATAACTATAAAACAAAAAATATTAATAAAAATAAACTATAAAACCAACAGCATTCTATCTAATATTAATTCAATTGAATAGGTGATGTTTTACTAAAACTAAACTGTTCTTTCATTATGAATCTAATACCGTTCCTACAATATACTTTCTGGATTTCAGAATGTCTGTAATACTGCACTGCACACCTTCCCTATCATAACTGTCATACTCTTGTTTTAATCTTTAGTCTGTATGCTTAGATTGTCAACTCCACATCCACTTTATTCACAGCTGTATTCACAGTGCCTAGCAAAGAGACCAATTTATCCCTCAATGACTGTATTCATGCATAACAAAACAACAATCATGAAATGTGCTCTAGCTATCAGATCAGGGATAATTAAAATGTTTATCTATAGTAAATGGGAAGCTGGAGTTCTAAAACTTTACCTACAAAACATTTTAGAACCCACATCACACAATCTCCTACCCAACGTTGAAATTCTATTAGAGAATTTTGCTTGACATTTTGCAGTGTTGTAAAGCTCACTATTTTGTTATATAGTCTTTCCACTACTAAATGATTCTATTAGAAAGCTCTTTTTTTTTTTCAGATTATTTATTCATGAGAGACACAGAAAGAGAGAGAAAGGCAGAGACACAGGCAGAGGGAGAAGCAGGCTCCATGCAAGGAGCCCCAAGTGGGACTCGATCCCAGCTCTCCAGGATCACACCCTGGGCTGAAAGCGGCGCTAAACCACTGGGCCACCGGGGCTGCCCTAGAAAGCTCGTTCTTGTATCAAATTGAAAATGGCCTCCCTATAAGCTATGTATTCTCATTTTAACCTTTAGACTAAGAATTAGCAAACATTTTTAATAAAAGGTCAATTAATAAATACTTTACACTTTGTTGATCACATATAGTCTCCATCACATATACTTCTTTGTTTTTACAATCCTTTAAAAATGCAAAAACTATTCTTAGGTCATGGTCAGTACAAAATCAGATCCTTGCTCTAGACCATTATAATACTCATCCCAAGGTACAGTTATTTTCCTGTTTACTAGGCTGTCTTCCCAAAAGTGGAAGTAGCTTTCATCATCTAAATATCCCTAGCAACAAACATACCATAGGCACTTAAGATATTTGTTAAACAAATGAATGAATGAATGAAAGTTAAGCTCCTTCCTCTTTAGCTTGACAGCTCCTTAAACAACTTATCATAGCAAAGTCTCCTCTTTCATCTACTGTCATACTCATTTCCTCTCACAAACGAACTCCTGTGCTGGCAACATCTTTTTTTTTTTTCTTTTTTAGTTTTATTCATTCATTTATTTTAAAGAGAGAGCGTGCGAGCATGGAGAGGGGCAGAGGGCAAAGCAGAAAATCCCAAGCAGTGTCCCCGCTGTGTATCCTACATCTGAGGAGACCCCAACTGGAGCCAAAATCAAAAGTCAGAAGCTCAACGGCCTGAGCCATCCAGGTGCCCCACTGTCTACATCTTTCTTAAAATGTGAAACTAAAATGGACTTTGATGATCCACATCATAAAATACATCAGCATCAGTATTTTGATTTGGATAGCCTTGGCTTATGTTTGAAAAAATCTTGTGAATTAACACCTATTGATACTCCTCTACAAAACTCTGACAAGCTAACATCATGGTTAAATCTCATTCCCCTGTCAAAGGTTAATTCTAATATATGTGGTTGTTTCATTTTCTTTCAATTAAAAAAAAAAACCAACAAAACTGAATAAAACAAAGAACAAAATAGTATTGTCTTAATTATCATTTAGGCATGAAAAAATTGAAATTACGACACTGGTTAAGCATTCTTCCACATCCACATGATCCAAAGTTGTAATAGTACAATTCTATCTCCTACCTTGATAATCTGAAAGGCACTTAAAGTTTAGCTTTTGTAAAGAGCTAATAAATCAGTTCAATATTGAACAGAGGAAACCAGTAAGATCTACCTCAAACAAGTCATTTAACCTCTTTATCTTACTTTTGGGGTCTGAGAATAACATATGCCTTATCTAATTCTAAGAATCTAATAAAGTAAGCATAAACATTTGGGGTTTTTTTTAGGATCATGGAGTCTCCACTGCTAAGAGAAGTTGTCAAAGGATAATATATAGTCAACCCCAAGAAAAAAATACACAAATTCAGGGCTGAGGAGGTATGCCCACTAGAGAGGAAGTTATCATCTTTCTATCTTCTGTGAGGAATAGGACATAATGAGGGGCTAGTGAACATTTAACATAACTAGACCAGTCAGCCAGTGTGGAAAACCAGAAATAAGGTAAGACCTTTGATAATGGTTCTACAGAGCTCCCCCACTCAAGAAAGGATTTAGGGGCACCGGGGTTGTTCAGTCAGTTAAGTGTCATAGTAGAGAGACTGAGCCTCCTATCTGGCTCCATATTCACTGCTTCAGATTCTCTCTCCCTCTCCCTCTACTTCTCCGTATTCTTGCTCACCCACACGCATTCACACACATGCATACACACACGCATACACACACATCTCTCTCTCAAATAAATAATCTTAAAAAAAAAAAGGTAGAAAGAAAGAAAGGATTTAAATGCAGGACCTGAAGTCCCCCAAAAGTATTTTACAAATATGAGTTATTACTACTGGTTAAAAATAAAGAGGTATTACCTAGCAGTGGCGAACATAAGAGATCTCTCTTGGATTTCTTTACTTGATTTTCTGGTTGGGTCAGTATACCTTCCTCCACAGAGGGGAAGTCTGTCACTTCGGTCCCTTCCTCTCTCATATTAAACCTGGTCTGGGTTGTATCCAAAGTGTGGGAAGAGTCCATTTCTTGCGGAGGATAATGCCAAGATTCTGTTCTCTAAAACAATAATTTTGAAGGAAAATATGCTAAGTCATTAACTGAGTTACCATATACATTAGTATTTAGATTTAACTATCCACCCACTCATGTAGCATATAGTTTCCTATATGATGACATTCTCATCAGTGTTTAGAGAAAGTAAAACTACTCTTTCTGTATGTTTTTCACAACATTAATTACATTTTAGACCTCTTCCCATCATTATCCATCTTTTAATGTGTTATATCACTAGTGTTTCTGTTATTCTTGAATAGTTCTCTTCACTGTAGCAATACATTTTTTTTTACATTTGGTTTTATTTGATGAAACTTTAGAATTATAATACTGAAAAACATTTTCCAAACCTAAAGTTGTAAAATGCTCTACACATGACCACTCTACTGAATTCTTAATTAGCTATGCTGGTTTCTAATGGACTCGTGGCTCTTCTCATTGTGTAACATTATCACATAATCCAATGGTCTCTTTCAAGTGTTTACTCTTAGATTAATGGCAAGATTCGGAGCAATGCTTCTCAAAGTATCTATGGGAAGGAACAATTTTTTCCTACTTCCAAATTTAACATTTTATTAAAATACTAATTAGTATTAGTAAGTTATAAGTCAATAAAAATAAAATAAAAAACTAAAAAAACTAGAAAATTAAATTTAATAGACACATAAGCCCAAAATATAAAACATAAATTTATTGCAATACCTGTGTCTCTGCCTCTCTGTGTCTCTCATGAATAAATAAAATCTTTAAAAAATTTTTAAAAATAAATAAATAAAAAATAAAATAAAAATAAAAAAGATAAAGGGAAAGGGTCAGTTTTAAAAATAATAATAAATAAAATTTTAAAAAGCAAAGGCAATTGCAGTCATTGTGTGACTCTCACAATAACAAAACCTCTAGTCCCCAACTCATCTCTCAAACTCCTTAAGCATGGTTTGAGCCTGGTCCCGTAGTTTATTACTCACTCCACAGAGACAGCTGTCTGTTGGCTCTCCTGCCTGCCCATCCTCTGGCCTCGTCAGATCACTCTACTCTAGCTCAACTTCAGTAATTCCTTAACCTCACTAGGACAATTATCCTATTACATTTACACTAGTCATCATTCCTTTCTTACCTGTATTTCCCTCTTTACCACTCTGAGAGTTCATTGTCATACTCATAACCACTGCCTTGCAAATATCTTTAACTTTCCTCCCCTTTTCTCCCACTACCATATTTGCCTGGTAAAAGCTCAGTTCTCTAGTTAAACATTCTCCTTAACCAAATCCAAGCAGCTGCACATTGCAGAGTAAAAAAACACAAACCCAAATGTCGTTTTCTTTAAATTGATGGCATTAAACCTCAAGGACACTCAGCATTGCATAGAAATCCTATTATATTTTCCTGGTGAATTGACTTGCTAAAATGACTACACTTTCTCTCCTCAGAACTACTGAACTCTCCTTCCTCGTTTCCAACTGATGACCTCATCTACTTCAATTAAGTGAATAGCAGGCAATGAAATTTTCTTATCTTCCTGTCAACAGATCTACAACCCTATACTCACCTTGTAACTTAAAAATAGTCTCTACCTATCAGAAGCCTTCCCATCTCATTCCATTCTTCTCAATGACTGCCTCCCTATTTGATTCTCCTGCTTTCATCATTCCTCTCCCCAAGTAAACATATTTATAATTTCCCACCATAAAATAAAATTTTAAAACGCCCTTAATTCAACATTCCTTTTCAGAGACACCTGGGTGGCTCAGTGGTTGAGCATCTGTCTTCGGCTCAGGGCGTGATCCTGGGGTCTGGGGTCTGGGGTCTGGGATCCAGTCCTGCGTCAGGCTCCTTGCAGGGAACCTATTTTCCCTCTTCCTGTGTCTCTGCCTCTCTCTCTCTCTCTCTCTCTCTCTCTCTGTGTGTGTGTGTGTGTGTGTGTGTGTGTGTGTGTCTCATGAATAAATAAATAAGCTCTTTTTAAAAAAATTCCTTTTCTTCCTGCTTATTTTGGTTTTTTCCTTTTTTTAAGTTTTTATTTAAGTCCCAGTTACTTAACACAGCGTAATATTAGTTTCAGGTGTACAATTAAGTGATTCAACACACGAACAACACCTGGTGCTGGTCACAAGATTCTGTAGATTTTGTTGCTATGTTTCTAGTACACAACGATTACTTGTTATACCTTTTAATCAATATAAAAAGGCCCTCAAGGGATGCCTGGGTGGCTCAGCGGTTGAGCATCTGCCTTTGGCTCAGGGCATGATCCTGGAATCCCAGGATTGAGTCCCACATCGGGCTTCCCGCATGGAGCTTGCTTCTCCCTCTGCCTCTGCCTCTGCCTCTCTCTCTCTCTCTCTCTCTCTCTCTGCGTCTCTCATGAATAAATAAATAAAAATCTTTAAAAAGAAAAAAAAAGGCCTTCAAATCCCTAATGTTTTTGATATAAATATATTCTGTTGGAGAAATAAAGATTAGAGATATAAATTTGGGATTTTTAAGTATACAGATATATTTAACCCCCCTGAATCTAGATGAGAACCAAAACATCCCAACACTTCAAGCAGAAATCAAAAGCTCAAATGTGTACAGACAGGGCCAGGGAAGTAACAGAAATGAGTAAAACCACCTGGAATTAGACAGTGATGGGACCTGTGGCCAAATATGCACTGCATACACACTTTAAAGTGTGTCCATTTCAAAAATTTTTAAATACCATGCCCCAATTTTTTTTTCTGAAAACCACATTTGGCCATTATTCAGGTCCATATCTTGCAACCTTTGATTTTGAGGTTGAACGGAGGAAGATAAAGCAGGAAAGGAAACAGAAGAGTAGAAAAAAAAAAATAGAAGCCATGAAAGGAAATGATTTTAAGAAGTTATGCAATGGTTAACAGTGTCAAATGCTATATATTGCACCTAAAATAAGGACAGAAAAGTTCTCATTGTATTCAGCTATACAAATGTTGGCAAAACTTGCTTTGGTCAGAACATAAAGTAGATTAAGTAAAATAATAAGTAGATCCTAACCAGTGATATAAAGTACATATATTAAGAAGGAAAAAATATATAGTTGATACAACTGTCTATTTAGAAAGTCCTAGGGCATCTGGATCACTCAGCCAGTAAAGTGTACAACTCTTGATTTCAGCTCAGGTCATGATCTCAGGGTAGTGAGAATGAGCCCCATAGGCTCTGTGCTGGCATGGAGCCTGCTTGGGATTCTCTCTTTCTCCCTCTCTCCCTCAAAAAAAAAAAAAAAAAATCTACAAAAGACCTATTACTAAAATCAGTAAACATGACTTACAAGGTCAATATAAGAAGTCATTTATATTTCTATATATTTGTGAATAGGAAATTGAAATTTTTAAAAACATCAGTATGATTAATTACACCTTAATAAAAGCAATGTTTATTTATTTTTTAAAGATTTATTTATTTATTCATGAGAGAGACAGACTGAGAAAGAGAGGCAGAGACACAAGCAGAGGGAGAAGCAGGCTCCTCACAGGGAGCCCGGTGTGGGACTCAATCCCGGAACCTGCGATCACAACCTGAGCCAAAGGCAGGCGCCCAACCACCAAGCCACCCAGGCATCCCTAAAAGCAATGTTTTTTAAAAAAAGGTAACACAACATGTTAAGTTTGGTAAACCGAAGACAACAAAATACTGATGAAAAAACTAAACACTTAAATGAAACTGCAAGAACTGTTGTGTTGGTAGATTATAGAACTCAAATATTAAGGTATCAATTCTCTCCAAACTGATGTATAGACTCAAGGCAATCTTTTTTTTTTTTAATTTTTTTAATTTTTATTTATTTATGATAGTCACAGAGAGAGAGAGAGAGAGAGAGAGAGAGAGAGAGGCAGAGGGAGAAGCAGGCTCCATGCACCGGGAGCCCGACGTGGGATTCGATCCCGGGTCTCCAGGATCGCGCCCTGGGCCAAAGGCAGGCACCAAACCACTGCGCCACCCAGGGATTCCCGACTCAAGGCAATCTTAATCAAAATTCCAAGAGGCTTTTTTAATAGACATGCTGATTCTAAAATTTATATAGAAATTTGGGGGATCCCTGGGTGGCTCAGCAGTTTAGCACCTGCCTTCGGCCCAGGGCGTGATCCTGGAGTCCCAGGATCAAGTTCCGCATTGGGCTCCCTGCATGGAGCCTGCTTCTCCCTCTTCTCTCTGTGTCCCTCATGAATAAATAAATAAAATTTTTTAAAAAATAATAAAATAAAATTTATATAGAAATTAAAAGAATCTAGCAAAAACAAAACCATTTTTCAAATAAGGAGCAAAGTGGGAGAACTCACACTACCTGATTTCAAGAGAGTACAAAAATTAAGAGTGCAGAATTGGTATGACAAGCCATACAAATCAATGGAATAAAGTCCAGAAATAGACCAACACATATATAATCTGTTTTTGATAAAGATGCCAAGGAAGCACTAGACAAAAAGACAGTATCTTCAGCTAATGATGCTGGAATGACAAATATTCAAATGTAAAGAAATCAAGATGGACACTCACTTTATATCATATACAAAACCAATTCAAAATAGAACATAGAAATGTAAAACCTAGAACTAGAAAACTTCAAAAACTGGTTCGAAACTGGGTTAAATTTTGACAACCTCTCTTCCCTCAACTATGGGACATTTAGCAATGTTTAGAGACATGTTTCATAGTTACAACATGAGAGAGTGGTACTGAATCTAGTGGGAAAAGGTCAAGGATGCTGCTAAACACCTTACAACATATAAGACAGCCCCATACAATGAGGAACTAAGTGACCCAAAATGTCAAAAGTGCCAAGGTTGAGAAACCTTCCAGATTTTCTAGGAAAAAATCTTTGTGACATAGGATTAGGACAAAATTTCTCAGAACACAATACAAAACATTGAAAAACAAAAGCTATACACCAATTTCATCAAAATTAAAGCTTTTGCTCTTTAAAAGACAAAGAATTCAAAGAAAAACTATAGAGTAGGGAAAAAAAATTTGCAAAACACACGTTTAGTAAAGGACTTGCACCTAGAATTTATAAAGAACTTCCAAAATCAACAAATGGAACAAATCAGCCTTTAAAAATGGGGAAGAGGGGCAGCCCGGGTGGCTCAGCGGTTTGGCGCAGCCTTCGACCCAGGTTGTGATCCTGGAGACCCGGGATCGAGTCCCACGTCGGGCTCCCTGCATGGAGCCTGCTTCTTCCTCTGCCTGTGTCTCTGCCCCCTCCCCCGTCTCTTATGAATAAATAAATAAAATCTTTAAAAAAAATAAAAATAAAAAATAAAAATGAGGAAGAGGGACGCCTGGGTGGCTCGGGGTTTGAGCACCTGCCTTCGGCCCAGGGTGTGATCCTGGAGTCCCAGGGTCAAGTCCCACATTGGGCTCCCTGCATGGGGCCTGCTTCTCCCTCTGCCCATGCTTCTGCCTGTGTCTCTCATGAATAAATAAAATTTAAAAAAAAAATGGGGAAGAGATTTTAAAAGACCCTACATTAAAGAAGAAACATGGGTGGCAAATAAGCACACAAAAAGATGTACAGGGCAGCCCAGGTGGCTCAGCGGTTTAGCGCTGCCTTCAGCCCAGGGTATGATTCTGGAGACCCAGGATCGAGTCCCACGTCGGGCTTCCTGCATGGAGCCTGCTTCTCCCTCTGCCTGTGTCTCTGCCTCTCTCTCTCTCTCTCTCTCTATCTCTCATGAATAAATAAATAAAAATTTTTAAAAAATGTACAATATCATTAGTCATTAGGAAAATGCATATTAAAACCACAATGAGACCCCATAATATACCTAGAATGGCTAAAACTTTTAAAACAAAAAAACTAACAATACCAAGAACCGGCAAGGATGCAAATCAACTAGAATTCTCATATATTGTGGGGGAAGACAAAATGGCATGGCCACTTTGGAAAACAGTTTACTACTTTCTTACAACATTAAACATACAATTACTGTATCAGCCAGTAATCTCATTCCTATTTACCAAGAGAATTAAACCATTTGTCTACAAAAATTTGCACCTGTATGGAATATTACTCAGCAATAAAAAAATTAAAAAGAACAAACTTCTGAGTCACATAATAATATGGATAAATCTCAAAAGCATGTGTTAAGTAAAAGAAGCCAGATTCGAAAGCCTATATACTTTAATTTTGAAAAGACAAAACTATAGGGACAGAAATCAGATCAGTAGTTGCCAGGGACTAAGGATGGGAGAGACGACTGATTACAGTGAGGTACAAGAGAACTTTTGGGGAGTGACAGCAACCTTGTATATCTCAAATGTGGTACTGGTTATGACTGCATATATCTCTCAAAGCTCATCAAACTGTATACCTAAAAAAGCGAAGTTTGCTGTGATAAAATTATACATCAATGTGGTTAACATAGCAGGAAATGAAGAACATTCTTAAAAATTTCATTTAATGAACAGGGAGCAGAGTATTAAACCAAACAGCTGGGGATGAGACATTTGTACTCAAGTTGCTGGAGGTGACATGGTCTAGACTGTGACTACAGGATGGGTACCCCTAGTAGGGGTAAAAGTTTAGAAGGAGAAGTGGAGGAAAAGATCTCTGTAGGTTAGATCAAAGATCCAGGAGTTTTAGGCACTACATGGGTAATGTAAGCTGAAGTGAAAGAAACTGAGAACAGTGTAGCAAGAGCTATATTTTCAGTGAATTAAGAGAGGTAACTCAGAAAACAGCAACAAAGATGAATGAACAGAATAACAAGGAGAAAGGGGCACCTGGGTGGCTCGGTGGTTGAGCATCTGCCTTTGGCTCATGTCATGATCCTGGGGTCTTGGGATCGAGTTCTGCTATCAGGCTCCCTGCAGGGAGCCAGCTTCTCCCTCTGCCTATGTCTCTGCCTCTCTGTCTCTCATGAATAAACAAATAATTTTTAAAAACCAAGAAAACCAAGGAGAAAAAGGGGGGAAATGAGAAAGTGGCATAATGTTCCAGCTATGCTGAGGAACCCAGGCATGAAGGCAGCAAAAGAAGAGCTACAGGATCTATCCAAGGCATATATATATTTTTTTTTTCACGGCGTATATTTCACAAGATAGGGACAAAAAGGAAGACAACTATGTTTGGACCATGCTCTACCATAAATATATCCTCAGAGACTACCAAACTATTTAGGGATATATCCCTATAATCATTTCCTAGGACTGCCATAACAAAGTTACACAAACTAGGGGGTTCAAAACAACAGAAATTTATTTTCTCACAGTCCTGGAGGCGAGAAGTCTGAGATCAAAGTGTTGGCAGGGCCATGTTCCATCCAAAGCCTCTAAAGAGAATGCTTTCCTTACCTCTTCCACCCTATGGTAGCCCCAGACATTCCTTGGCTTGTTGCAGTAGATTGCCAATGTCTGCCTCTGTCTTGATACGGCTGACTTCTTCCTGTGTGTGTCTCTCTCTACGCATCCTATTTTCCTCTAACAACAGCAGTCATATTGGATTAAGGGCCTACTGTACTCCAGTATGATCTCACCTAAGCTATATCTGCAATCACCCTTTTTCAAATAAGGACATATTCTAAAGTACTGGGGAATAGGACTTCAACACATCTTATGCCACACAATTCAGTCTATTGCAATCCCCCTTTCATTTAAGTCCCAGAGTGCTATGAATTTTCTAGTCAAGGCTTCTTTTCATTCCTTTCCCTTCATGACAGCAAATTTCCTTTCTCCATATCTTGCATCAAATGAATAATCACTGCAATTTAGGGGAAATTGAAGGTACCAGAAGAAACTGATACCCAAGATCTTAGATAATCAACCTTAAATATTTAACCATTATAAATGAGGCTACATTTTTCCTCCAACAAACATATAAGCCTCTTTCCTATCTGCTCATAATTTTTCCATTTCTTCTAAATTTATGAGTATACTCTAGATCAATGGTTCTCAAAGAGCGGACCAAAGATCCTTGGCAGACACAGACACTCTTTCAGGAAATCTATACAGGGCTCCCTTTTCTATGTAAGTCCAGATTTTCTTCACATACTGTGATGTATCCCAAAAGACTAAATGCAGAAGCAGATATGAGAATCCAATTGTGATGGTTAATTTTATGTGTCAACTTGGCTGAGCCACCAGGTGGCCACATATTTGGGAAAATATTGTTCCATGTGTCTGTGTGTCTAGATTAGATTAACATTTGATTAACATTCGATCCACAGACTAAGTAAAGGAGATTGCCCTTTCCACTGTGGATTAAGCCTCATCCAATCCATTAAAGGCCTGAATGGAACAAAAGGCTGAGCAAAACAGAATTTACTCTCTCTGCCTGATGGTCTTAAAGCTGGCACTCAGCTTCTCCTGCCTTTAGGCTTGGATTCAGAGTAGAACTTAAACCATCAGTTCTCCTGGTTTTCAGGCCTTTGGATTCAGACTACAACTATACCATCAGCTCTCCTGGGTCTCCAGGTTGCAGATCTTAGAAATCTCAGCTATCACAAGAGCAAATTTCTTATTTTGTGTGTGTGTTGTATGTGTGTGTGTGCATATATATGTATAAGTCTCCTACTGGTTCTGTTTTTCTGGAGAACCCTAATACGTTGTCTTTTATTACACTTGACATTAAAGAGATATGAAAAAATGTAGAACAATGCCGCTTTTCAACTAACTTTTCTGTCTTGGAAAATATTTTTCATTTTTAAATATATTACTTATGCTACTCTATAATGTGTTTGTTGGGGTTTTTTTTTAAAGATTTTATTCATTTGGGATCCCTGGGTGGCACAGCGGTTTGGCGCCTGCCTTTGGCCCAGGGCGCGATCCTGGAGACCCAGGATCGAATCCCACATCGGGCTCCCGGTGCATGGAGCCTGCTTCTCCCTCTGCCTGTGTCTCTGCCTCTCTCTCTCTCTCTCTCTGTGACTATCATAAAATAAAAAAAATTTTTTTAAAAATTTAAAAAAAAGATTTTATTCATTTATTCATGAGAAACACAGAGAGAAAGAGAAAGAGAGAGAGAAAGAAAGAAAGAGGCAGAGACATAGGCAGAAGAAGAAGCAGGCTCCATGCAGGGAGCCTGACGCGGGACTCGATCTCGGAACGCCAGGATCACACCCTGAGCTAAAGGAAGACGGCAACCGCTGAGCCACCCAGGCATCCCGGATATGTTATTTTAAAAATATCTTTAAATGTTTTAATTTCTAGTAACATAAATATCAATAGAAATAATTCATACAAAAGATGCTTAAAATAGTTTTGAAGAATGTAAAGGAGTCCTGAGACAAAAAAGAAATTGAAATGCTATTCTATATAATTAAAACTATCAAAGATCTAATAGAAAAATGGAAAATTCACCTCTTACCATTCTTCACAGCTAAATCAGAATTTCTCATGCTATTTATGAAAAGAAAAATAGTTTGCCAGTTACACAAGACATACCTGATCATTCCTAGACCCCCACCAAGCTGTTTTTTCCACAAAGACCACATTAGTATCAGAAATCTGTGTTCCACTATTGCCTTGATATGATGACTCTTGCCATACATGATGTGTCAATGGGACAACCTGAAAATCAAAAGCAGATATTTTTTTTAAGATTTATTTATTCATGAGAAGCTGAGACACAGGCAGAAGGAGAAGCAGACTCCCTGCAGGGAGTCTGATATGGGACTCAATCCTGAGACCCTGGGACCATGACCTGAGCCAAAGGCAGACACTCAACCACTGAGCCACCCAGGTACCCTTGCTTGACTTTTTAAGATGATTTGTTGAAGCCAGTGGCTTAGATCTGGGAGGGAGGGTCAGGGGAGTGTGGACTTTGGTTTAACCCTTCCTGAGCCAGAGGCAGATGCTCAACCACTGAGCCATGGAGGTGCCGTGAAAAGCAGATTTAAATACAATAGTAACACAATCGCTGCTACTAAACAATAAGTAAAATCTAAACTTTAACTTAGATTTCTCTGTTTATAAAGCACTTTCTTATATACGTATATATGTATATAAAACATTTCAACTCCACAACCACTATCCAAATTACTACCTTCACTTAAAAAAAAAAAAAACGGGCACCTGGGTGGCTCAGTAGGTTAAGCACCTGATTCTTCATTTCAGCTCAGGTCATGACCTCAGGGTTTTGAGATCGAGTCCAGTGTCAGGCTCTGTGCTCTGCATGGAGTCTATATAGGATTCTTTCTCTCTCTCTCTCTCTCTTCCTCTCATTGTCCCTGCTCTCCTCCCTGCTCTCATGTGTGTAAGCGCCCACTCCCGTTCTCTCCAAAAGAAACAATGAATCTTAAAAAAAAATAAAAATAAAAAAATAGAGTCTTAAAGTTATTCAGCTAGAACTCAACATATTTTCCAATAAACCATGGCAGATCCTTAACCTCCTATACCCCTACCAGTAAAAGAAGCAAGAAGAAACAAGCAAGTTATTTTTAAAATCCTATTTTTTGAGACATCTAAGAAATTAGCCTTAAAAATAGGGACTAAAATCAACCCAGTGGAGGCAGTGGGAACAAACATCAGGCTTTTTGTGAAATCAGTTAGAGCAGGGCTCCCTTAACCTGTGAAAGGAGGCAATAAAAGCTGTGACTGCAGCTCAAGGCTGAAACATTGCAAATAGAAAAGATCCAAGGCAATCAAACAAAAATGACCTATGTCAAGTAACCCACTGGTTCAGGGACTGGTTCCTGAGATTTCCTCCAATATTCCTGGACAATAAAAACCAGTTTCAATACTCTTTTTTAAAAAGCAGCCACAAGGGGCAAGGTAAAGACAACCACAAAAACACCAGACAGAGAAGGGTACACCATAAGACAAAACAAAAAAACACTCCTGCTAAAAATGATTACAAACTATATTTTTTAAAAACTTTAAAATGAGTACCTCAGATCCTCAAAGAAATAAATACACAATGTCCATAAAAAGGGAAGAAGTTATAAAGTAAAATAGGCAGTTATGAATGTCAAGGAAGATGAATGCTAACAAAATATTAATAACCACAAATGTGAATGAGCCTCTGAAGGAAACTCAAGGTCATCAGATTTTTTCCAGAATTAAAACAGATACTACACTAACAATACAAAAAAAATTTTTTTACAGAATGCTTACAACAATGTGTTTTTTTAAGACCAGCTTATTTAAAATCTACTCAATAACTATAGAGATTTCTAAGATATCAACTCTTCCAAAAGGATTTCTCTACAGGTAGAGTACCATGGTGCACACCCATCTTGCTTCAGTGGCGATTTTTAAGGGACAAAGAATAAAAAATAAAACTGTTTTTGCAAATGCATTCTGGCCATTTGAAATTCCTAAATCTGTAACAATACAGCCAATGTTCTGGCACAGTTAATCTTCTTTGTGCCCTCCAGGAAAGAAGAATGCCAACATGAATGTTCAAAATGGCTATTCACTGCAGCGAAATAATGCAGGTTGTGGAGCATGGGGTCTTGCCTTAAAGAGCTGATTAAGAACAGCTTATAAAAAGAGAGTTCAATTCATTAGGATATTTGTAGGAAACTAATGATACGTTGAGAAACTAGCACATTGAGAACTAACCCAATGTGTGAGAAAATGAACTCTCCCCTCACTTTTATCAGTTTAAAGAAAACCTAAAATTAAAACTAAATGTTAAAAGTTCTTATTAAAAAAATCCATTCCCCAGGACTTCCTTTTTTTTAAGGTTTTATTTATTTATTCATGAGGGACAGAGAGAGAGAGAGAGAGACAGAAACAGAGAGGCAGAGATATAGGCAAAGGGAGAAGCAGGCTCCCCACAAGAAGCCCAATGCAGAATTCGATCCCAGGACCCCAGGATCATGACTTGAGCCAAAGACAAGATGCTCAACCACTGAGTCATCAGGCGCCCCAGAACTTCCTATTTTTATCACCCATCTGTTTAGACATCATTGAGAAAACTAATTTCTATTACATCCTCATAAATTTGATCAACTTTCCCACTATTGCCTCTGAATATAACCCAATATTTGAAGGATTCTTTAAGATTTTATTTATTTGACACAGAGTTTTGGAAAGAGGGAGAGGGAGAGAACAAACACACACAGGGGGAACAGAAGGCAGAAGGAGAAGCAGACTCCCCGCTGTGCAGGGAGCCCAGTGAAGGGCTTGATCTGAGCCAAGCCCTTAAATGAGCATGGAGGCACCCCTCTTGAAGAAGAAGTTTTAAGATGAATGCTTCAAAACTATGCAAGTGTCATGAACTCTTCATATGAGATTAAAGGTCTTTGGTATAAATTAAAAGTTTGAAAGAGTCTTTCCCTGAGTAAGTTTGTAATATTAAAAGTTAGTAGTCTTCCAAATACGTACTGTCCATGAGAGAAACACTTTAGATCTACGGACACACATAGGCTGAAAGTAAAAGGATGGAAAAGGATATTCCATGCTAATAAAAGAGCACAGGAATAGCTGTACCAAGTTCAGACAAAACAGATTTTAAATCAAAAATTGTTATGAGACAAAGGACACGATAGAATCTTAAAAGGGTCAAATCACCAAGAAGACATAACAATTACAAGTATTTATGCACCCAACCTCAGAGCTCCCAAATCAATGAGGCAAATTTTTAAAGACTTTGGAGGAGAAACACAGAGCAACACAGTATATTAAAAGACTTCAATACCTCACTTTCAATAATGGATAAAACCACCATACCTAAGAACAATAAGGAAATAGAGGAACTGAACAACAATACAGACCAACTGGACCTAACACATATCTATGTACATTAACACTCCACCTAAAAACAGCATAATATACATTTTTTTCAAGTATATATGGACCATTCCTTAGAATAGAACATGTTAGCTACAAAATGAGTCTTAACAAGCTCAAAAAGACTGAAATACACAGTGTCTTTCTCAACCACAATGGAATGAAACTAGAAATCAACGGCACAGAAAAAAAACTGGAAATTTCCACAAAAATATATAAATTAAACACTACACTCTTTTAAAAACCAATAGGTCAAACAAGAAGTTATGGGGAAAATTAAAAAAAACTTTGACATAAATAAATATGAAGACACAAAATGCCAGAACTTATAGGATGCAACAAAGCAATGCTAAAGGAAATTTACAACTGTAAATTTACAGCTGTAAGGCATACATTTAAACAAAAGGATGATCTCAAATCAACAACCTAACTTACACCTCAAGGAACTAGAGGAACAACAAACTAAACCTAAAACAAGCAGAAGGAAAGAAATAATAAACACTGAAGCACACATAAAATACTGAACAGAGGGGATCCCTGGGTGGCGCAGCGGTTTGGCGCCTGCCTTTGGCCCAGGGCGCGATCCTGGAGACCCGGGATCGAATCCCACGTCGGGCTCCCGGTGCATGGAGCCTGCTTCTCCCTCTGTCTATGTCTCTGCCTTGACTCTGCCTCTCTCTCTCTCTCTGTATGACTATCATAAATAAATAATTTAAAAAAAAAATACTGAACAGAGGAAAAAAAATAATTAATGAAACTAAAAGTTAAGTTTTTTTTAAAGATCAAAAAAATTAGCAAACCCTTAGCTGGACTAAGAAAAAAAAAAGACTCAAAATAATAAAACTAGACACGAAAAAGGAAAAATTATAACCAACGGCCCAGAAATAAGAATTATAAGAGAAGAGTACAAACAACTGTATACAAATAAACTGGACAAACAAAAAAGAAATACATAAATTCCTGGAAACACATACTGAATCATGAAAGAAGAGAAAATCTGAACAAACCTGAAACAAGAGATTAAATCAGTAATCACAAACCTCCCAACAGGGAAAAGCCAAAGACCAGATGGCTTCACTGCCATTTGTTCATCAAACATTTTAAAAAGAACGAACACCAAACTTCCTAAAACATTTCCAAAAAACTGAAGAGGAACACTTCTTGACTCATTCTGAGGCTAGCATTACCATGATATGAGACAACGACAAAGACACTGGAAACCAGAAAACTAACACCAATATCTTCAATGAACACAGAAGCAAAAATCTTCAACAAAATTAATACTAGCACACAGAATGCACAGCACATTAAAAAATTATATACCATAATCAAGTAGATTTTAAACCTAGAACACAAGGATGGTTCGACATATAAAAAATCAGTGTAATACCTCCTAGTAACAGAATTAAGGATAAACCAAGATGATTATCTCAAGTGATACAGAAAAAGCATTTGACAATGGTCATCACCCTTTCATAGTAAAAACATTCAACAAACTAGGAAAAGAAGAAAACTACCTCAACATAATAAGAACCATATATGCAAAAGCCACAGTAAACAGCATATTCAATAGTGAAAGATTGGAAGTGTTTCCTCTAAGATCAGGAACAAAATAGTGCTAGAGATTCAAACTAGAACATTTAGCAAGAAAAGGAAATACAAGGCAACCAAACTGGAAAGAAAAATGCAAAATATCTCAGTTGCAGATGATACGATCTTCAATATAAAAAAACTCCAAAGAAATAAAAAATCGTAAAAGAGAAAAGAAAGGAAAAGAAAAGGAAAGGAAAAGAAAAGAAAACAAAAGAAAAGAAAACAAAAGAAAAGAAAGA